TATATATATATATATATATATATATATATATATAAAAAAAATATATATATATATATATATATATATATATATATATATATATATATATATATATATATATATATATATATATATATATATATATATATATATATATATATATATATACACACACACACACACACACAATATATTTTTTTTTTTTTTTTTTTATATATATATATATAAAAAAAAAAAAAAATACACACTGTGTCTCTCTCTCTCTCTCTCTATATTTTTTTTTTTTTTTTTGTCTGTGTGTGTGTGTGTGTGTGTATATATATATGTATATATATATATATATAAAAAATCTATCTCTCTATCTCTCTCTCTCTCTATCTCTATATATATATATATATATATATATATATATATATATATATATATATATATATATATATATATATATATATATATATCACACGAATAGCAGTGCGATATGGTACGATTGAATGAGGAACTATTTTCTTCCACCTTGGATTCAAAACATAAGCTGACAGTTAAACAGCTGAGCAAGCATCTTTTCAACTTTAGATCTGTAGTGTCTGCTTTTAGCTGGCTGTATGTGGGCTATCAGCCAATCAGATTTGAGAATCAGACAGAAATGTTGTATAAATAAATATATATATATATATATATGTGTGTGTGTGTGTGTGTGTACATATATATGATTTTATGATTTATATATGATTTTTTTTCTTTCTAAATATGATTATTCATGCGATCAGATTGGTCTTCTAATATGTCATTCTTGTTATATATGATTCTTGTTATAAATATGCCTGATTGATATGCCTATGACAAGATTTTATTTTATTAAACTATTATATTCAAGTTTAACTGCGTAAAAACTTGCTGGATAAGTTGGCGGTTCAATCCGCTGTGGCGACCCCAGATTAATAAAGGGACTAAGCTGACAAGAAAATAAATGAATGAATTATATTTAAGCTATTTTTTGTTTATTATTCTCAATCTTCTGGAATTTAAATGAAATAGGACTAATTAAAAAGAAATTAATAAAGTAATGTTATGATACCGGGCAACATGGTGGCGCAGTAGGTCGCTATTTCAAGCCTCGGCTGGTCAGTTGGCGTTTCTGTGTGGAGTTTGCATGCTCTCCTTGTGTTCGTGTGGGTTTCCTCCGAGTGCTCCGGTTACCCTCAGAGTCCAAAAACATGTGGTACAGGCTAAATTGGCTGTTGTGTGTTTGTTTGATTGAGTGTGTATGGATGCTTCCCAGTACTGGGTTGCGGCTGGAAGGACATCCACTGCGTAAAACATGTTTGTGGTTCATTACACTGTGGGGACCTCTGATTAATAAAGGGACTAAGCTGGAAAGAACATGAATGACTGAATGTTTTGATACTTATAGTGAAGTCCAGAACTGGAATAGCAGTTGTATGTCATGATAATAATCATGCACAAATCATAAAATATTTATGATAGTACAATTATTGCACATACCTATGGCAACCACGTACACAGTTATTAAAATAAATCATTTAATATCCTTCCAGCGTAATTTAGCATGTCATAAATTGATTCTCCAAGTACAAACAGTTGATGTTCAGCACAAATGTCAGCGTTGCGCGCCAGAAGGAAACGATAAAGATTATAAATGATCTTTAAGAGCATAATTTGACAGTGCGTTCACATGTCGATTTGTGCATCATGTTCTGCGCTCTCTGATCTCATCCACAGGCTTGCCAGGGTGTCTTTCGGCTATTTTCCTGTCACAATTTCAGCATGAATTTGCACATGTGTTTTTGGGTTTGCAGTCATTGAGAGACTGCTTAATTGCAAGCATGCCTTCATACAACGTGCACTAAAGCAGATCCTCTCTCCGAAACCACAATTCAGACACTTTATTCTGGAAAAGAGGACTTAGAGGGGACAGATTATAGGGGTTTGAACACAGTGTGTGTCTGTTAGCAGTGTGTGAATATATCCAGCCTTTAATGATTATCATGAATTAATTAGATGTGTTCTAATCAGACGATATGCACAGTCTGCAGAAACACTTTGATTGACATTCTACCTTTGTATGTGTCATCAGAAGGGGAAAGCCCCGCCCACTAGTGCCCATCTCTCCCTCATTAGCATAATCAACAGCCCTGAGTGAGAAGCAGCCGTCTGTCTATTAGCGTGTTTGAGCTGCTGAAGACAATTATAGAGGATTATAGATGTGGAGTTTTAGATGAAGCACAAATGGTGATGCACAGGCACTTGTAGCTCCGCCCTCTTCTGAAGAGAGCACAATCTCATTTGCATTTAAAGCAACAGTCACCAAATTGCTACAATTAGCATAGTTTGAGCTGAAGCTACACAATAGAGACTTATTTCTCACCTTGCAAAAAAAGCAGCATGATAGCTCATGTTTAAAATGCGATGCTATTCTTGTTTATTGCCTTGCGATCTGCTTATGATATGTTCACTTCGCTCATGATTGCATATATATGTGCTGCAAGGATGTGTTGAAGCTTTTGGGACTGAATGTTCTGGATGTGAAACGTAGCTGGTCTGAGCGCCAGGCTGGAGATAAATGTTCCTTGTTTCCTCACCAGGAGGAGTTTATTTTTGCAGGGATCTAATGACCCTAATTGC